TAATTGTTAGGTTCCTTTTGAAATCCATTTTTATAATTAAGTGGGTTGATGAGAAATTATTAGAGTAGTTTAATATCAATTAGTTTATAAGTTAATTTCTTTTACAATGTTAATTATTTCCACGTGAAATATAATGATCGAGTGAGCTATTATTGATTAGGGTACTTGATTTTTTTCGGGGCTCCACTTTATATATATATATACAATTGAAATGATAATATGCGATAGCTTTATCTTTTTCTTGAATAGTAAATACTTTATTCCATCTTCAAAAAAAGAATAGTAAATGCTTTATTCCCAATTAGATTCGCATCTAAATTCTATTATTAATTATTAAAAATTTTAAATTTTAAGTATTAATGTACATTTTCAAATTGGTGAATTTAAAGGAAGGTTATTCCTATTCTGTTTTACTGGACTCATAATTATAATAGCGTTTATAATTATGTAATTATTACTCTATTTAATTGTAAAAATATACATTGTAAGAAATATCTCGGAAAAAAAAAAAAAAACATTCCCCAAAGTGATTTTATAGTTAATACTTCAATTGGTAAGTAAACCAACACCAACAATAATATAGAATATGAATTGTATGTAAGAGAAATAGTAGTTGATAGTTGAATGTCTGCCTGCCAATGCAATAATTGGAAGGGGTTAGTTATATTGTTGGTTTAAAGATAATTTTTAAAATAGCATTTAGCGTTTAAAATATTATCTCTATTAATTATATTGTTGAATAACGTAATATTTATGGTAGCATTTTCAGGTTAAAATAGTAATATTTTACAAAATATTACTCAATAACGTTTAGTGATTGACAATAATTAATTGAATTTAACAGTTAATTAAATAATTATTTCTATTGAAACTTGTCCTGTAACCACTATATCAACAACTACTCACAGCCAGTGGGACATAATTACTACAAGGACTAAAATTATCAAACAAGGCAAAAAAAAAAAAATTTAAATGCTCTCTGTATCAAAGCTGAAGCCTAAAAATATGCATAGAATGACAAATTATTTCTACCAACTAATTGATTTATATTAACTCCATCTTAGGGCCAAAGTTAGTTAGTTACTATTTTTGAGAATTGGACCAAACCATCCAGTTAGTTAGATCGGTTAAATAGAGTACAAATCCAAGAATTGGTTGGATAAAGTCCATTTTAGTTTGAAATTTATGTCATTTCTATATTTTTTAGCTTTAAAGGCACTCCAAAAAAAAAAAAAAGTTATGATGTTTTTTAATGCTTTTAGCAATATTGGACAAATCAAAACGATCACTAATTCAATTCAAAGATCTACCCAATTCTGTAAATGTTATAAATACATGATTGTATAGGAAAAAAATTTTTGTAATATATTAAGCTGATTAGCACTCATACATATACACAATATTACCCCATCTGTCCCATTTTATTTGCTTGTTATTTCTTTTTTAGATATTTCAAAATGTTTGTAAAGTTTTTAAATTTATACGTATAAATAATTATTTTTCTCGTGATTACCTTTATAATTATTCATTGAATGAAGGAGTTTTGTTAATATCTTAATGAATTATAAGAATATTTAATTTTAATGAAATAAATTTTAGTGAAATGAAATTGATATTTAGTTCTATTTGTTAATGTAATTATATTATTTAATTAATTTTTATTAACTATGACTTTATCATAACTCCATCAGTTTTTTTTTTTTTACAGAATAAATACTATTTAATTTTTTTCTTAAGAGGTTTTTAATTTATAAGTTTATATTGATTTACTTCGATTTAAATTAAACTAAATATCATTCAAGGCTTAACATATTGTTTCACCCTCAACGTTTTTTAGATTTTATTGCAATTTTCACTCTGATCTGACCTTTATGCTAATATCACTCTGTACTCTAATCTTTTGTTGCAATTTCACTCCAATTTTATCTTTATACAATAAACTTTTACATTTTATTGCAATAGCACCTTAATTTATAGTTAGGACTTAAATTGTAAATGTAAATAAAAAATAGGTTCAACCTTACCTTGGAGCCTTGAATAACTTAATACTATTGTGTGAGTAAAGGAGTTTTGGTTAACAGAAAGGACAATCTCTAAATTATATTTTAATATTTTTCAATTTATCCTTAATCCGATAATAAATAATAAATTGTCGAAAATTATTTTATTGATACATGAATGTTTTTAATTTAGAATATAATTATATCTTAATATCTATTTGATAGAAAAATGTAACAAATTTCTTATAGTTATGAGTCAAATAAATTGATAATAGTGTTGTAGATTTATATTAAATTTATATTAAAATCAAAACCTAATAATAATAAATATTTTAATATTTTTTTAAAAAGTTCATGTATCAAATAATTAATTTTTAAATATCACTTATTATCAATAAAAGAAAGAATTTAAAAATATTAAAAATAATAATAAAGATTGTTCTTACTATTAATCCAAACTCTCTTATCTATATAAACGTATTAAGTTAATCCACGTCTAAAGTCGAGAGTGAATCTATTATTTATTTACAATTTAAATCCAAACTATAATTTAAAGTGTTATTACAATAAAATGTCAAAGTTCAAGGTGAAATTAATATAACGATCAAATTAGAGTTAAATTACAATAAAAGATTAAAATTCATGATGAAATTAATATAAAAATCAAATAAATTGCAACAAAACTCGGTCAATGTATTAATCCTGTCATTCAAACTCCCATTTATTCTATTTATTATTATTTAATTTATTGGATATTTGCATGTAATTCAGACACGGAGTACGTGACAAAGTACTTGAATGGACAAGTGAAGGATACATTGGTAATTTTGAGAAGGGCGTTTTACAAATATCAGCTTGGTTTACGTCTGATGGCAAGAGTGTAATTTTGGTTTGGCTTTCGTGTGGGATAGGTAATGGCAGTTGGGGCCTTTGGTGACATTAGATAAATAGTTGGTGCAATGTCGATGACCAAAATTAGTTATCACCAACTTTATTTCTCATCCAATCCTTTTGTTTCCTTTATCATCCTATTCAACATAAAAAAAAAAAAAAAGAAACATATTCAATATCATGCCAACATTATTAAATATTAATAATAATCATGATGTCTCCTTTTGGTTTTGTTTGGAAAGGAAAGAAAGAAAAACAATGGAGGAAGAAAAGAATTGAGGAAAATAACAAGAAACTGTCAATTTTCTTTTTATAATTATTTTTTTAAAAAAAATCAAATTAGAAATTTCATTAATAGAAAAATGTATAAATTATATGAGATACAAATCAATATATTTCTATGGTTCTATTTGTTTTTGTGAAAAATAATTTATATTTTTCTTGAAAATATTTTTCAAATGATTTATTTTCTATTGTTTGGTTGCGATATTGAAAATTAGTTAAAAATATTAAAAATTGAAAATTAGTTAAAAATATTAAAATTTTTAACTCATAAGACCATAAAAATATTAATAATAATAGAAATTTCGTATTTTAAAAATTTTATTATTAAATATAAGAAGAATGCAAAAAAAAGGTAAATTATGAAAGTCGCCGATGGTGGTGGCCAGTAGTAAACAGTTACTGTGGTGATGGATTAATAAATTAAAAAATATGAATTTTATAAGATTATAATAAATTTGTCAATATCCGAAAAATGTTTTACTCCATTGAAAATAGAAAATTATTTTCCTTAAAAATGAATTAATCTTTCTTTCACCAGAAAAATATTTCCGTTGTCTTATTTTTCTGAATGCCTCAAACAACGAAAAATTGTGAAAAATATTTTCCTACAAGTTATTTTACTGAAACAAATGAAATCTATATTTTTGTATGGAAAGCGTAATAATAAACCTCTTATACAAAGAATAAAAAAAAAAAAATCTTGATTTGAAGTATTTTATTGAGTTGACAGAACATAATATTTCATGCCCACTATTTGACTCAATGATCTTCCTACACGTCTGATTTAATCATCTTCAAATTTTTTCTTTCTATTAAAGAAGAGATATGTACTTCTTTCTGCATAACTGTTCAAATAACAAAATATCCTAGGATAAAATCACGATATCAGTGACAATAATAATTCAGCATTAGATTTCAGAATAAAATTTCAAGACATGGACAATAATAAATCTTAATATTTAAACAATAATAACTCAAATTTGTATTAAAAAAAAGTACAAGATTATTTAAAAAAAACAAATAAAAAGGGGAAAGATACAAATTCGATGATTATTACCAATTTTTTTTACTCTTTTGTTTAGCTATAATGAAGGAAAAATTTATTTTCCTTTATTTGAGAATGACAAAATTTTAGAGTAAAAAAAAAAAAAAGGCAAGTATATCCTCACTTAAATAATGGGTATTTAAGAAATGATTAATAATTAATTTGGAGTATTTTAGCAATTCAATAAAAATAAATGATATTTTCACATTTTTTCGTTATTTTTCTCTCAAGATTGGAGAGATGCAGAACATACAGGCTAGGTGAAAAAAAAAAAAGTGAAAGATTAGTTCTAAATTTTCCTAAAGTTTACTTCTAAATTTTCCTTTTTTTCCCCTAAATAAGGGAAATCTTTTACCTAAATATTTTTCATAGCTATTTTCCTTGAAAAAAAAAAACAAAAAACTTTCATCCAAACAAAAGCTTTGTAATTTTAGAGTCAATATTTAAATTTTTTCATACATTAACATTATATATAAATGTATTTTTTATTTTTTTTTACCAAAACAATACATAATTGAATTCTAACTGAATTTCAGAAAAACTCAAAATCAAATCGAATCAAATTGCCGAAATTGAATTGGTTCGATTTGATTTTTTTATCAACCAAATAATTTGCTGACCTTTATAATGGGCAGGCCACTAACTCGATATTCATATATTATTTTACATCTAAGTGAAGATGGAATCATGGAAATTAAGAGATACTGCCCACTTGTTAATTTTCAAGATTCAACTTTCTTCATATAGAGCTTTATAAGATCATAAATTGACAAAGTCAATGCTACTATAAAAAGAAATATCATAAATCAAGATAACATTATTAACCTTCTCCAAAAAGAAAAATGAAAAGATATAACGTTCCTACAAAAACAAAATATAATCAAAATATAATCTATGGATTAAAGCTGCTCATTTTCTCCAAAAAATATCGACAATGGATCTAACATGCAGCCTAAGATCAGAAACTAAGAATTTCAGTACAAACGAGCATCGCTTATAATATAATGAGATATATAATAAGAGAGAATGCTCTTTCGATACCGTGACCGTGCATACTGAAGGTGACCTAAAAAAGCATCAAGCATCCAGAACACAAGCTCATAAAGGAGTGCTAAACATACTTTCAGTTTGAATCAAATGCAACTCTTGATCAATCCGGGGAAAAAGAAAGACACAGGATTTGATTGGTCCGTCCTCGCTAAAAAGGAAGATGTGTCGATTTGCCTGAACTTCAGGCTTATGGTGCAGTTTCTGTAGAGTTCGATGAGGTTACCTTGCTCTCCGACAAGTTTGTTAAGCTTGGAATGTATCTCCAGCAACGCTTATGAACTCCACTTATCTTCTTGGGAGCATCTGCGGCTGGAAGTCCTGTACTAAGTATTAATCAGATTAAGTTTGCCATATATTAGAACAACTTAATTCAAACAAGAGGAAAGATTTTGACTACTAGCTCTTCCATGCTATAAATATTAAACTTGAGAGAAGATACAAGACTACCAATACTAAATCCTAAACGAGTCAGATTCTGATTTGAAAAGGCTTTTCTCCCTTTCTTACCGGGGAAGAGATTGGGGATACTTTCTTCAATTCAGCTTTCAAGAATCCAATAATCCCATCTAAACCCTGCTACTATACTGACCTTAGAAATTCTACTGTTCAAGTCAAACAATCGAAAATTACAATTAAAAAGCATTAATTTCATAGCTATAATTCTTAAAGAGATTGCTACCACCGGACATAAATGGCATACAACTTGAGAACAAGACTCTTATGAACAACATAATCTCCATGCTACCTTGGGTAGGGGAATGTAAATGGTTCGGCTAATTTGGTTAATTCGGCATATTCGGTTTGGTGAATCGGAAATTGGTTTTCAGTTCCGAGGATAAATTTGGATTTGTTCCGCGATCGGTTATGGTTCAGTTAAAACTGAAACTAACTGAATTAACCAAGTTAGAAAGCAAATATTAGGCATAGGTGATTCAATGATAGTAAAATGGTTCGGCCAATTCGGTTAAATTGACCAATTTGGCTCAACATGGTTAATGCAAAAATTAATTCAGCCAATTTAATTTGTTTAAATTCAGTTAATTCAAAAAAAAAAAAAAAAAATTTCAATTAATTCAATTCGATTAAAAATTTCATCCAAATTGACTGGACAGATTGAATGATCACCCCTAACCTTGGGTATCATATATGTTCAAAATCAGAAGAGGTGATGCCATGTGATCAAGAAAGAAGTATACATCTGAGACAAACAGACAGAAGGCAAAAAAAAAAAAAAAAAAAAAACAAACCAACAGAAGGCAAAAAAAAAAAAAAAAAAAAAGATTATCAATTGAAAAAGTCTCATCCACACTGTGCAAAGTGATTTTCGTGGTCAACTAAATTTGGAAAACGGTATCTCTAAGATTAAAGAAGACATAACTTTAATTACGTAGGATATGAATGTGTATTAACTCCAATATCAACCAGCACAGACAACTCTTTTGATTTTTGATTCTTGAGGTCTTTATCCAGATCCTTTCAAGGTCTAAAGAAATCCTAAGAGATGAAGTCACTGGCCCAATGCTTTCATACACTTGCCCAAACTAACATTGGTCCTTACCAGAGCAGCCATTAGTTTTTTAAATGAAAAAGAGCAGCCAGTGGCATGATACTGATATATCATGGATGAGTTTCTCTCAACTTCACAGCGATATTCCCTTAAATGTTTGATATGGTTCCATTTAGAAACAGAAGATCAATGACACGATCATTATCTTGACCAAATAAGTCAAAGCCTAATTTTTTAGAACCTATTATTGCATGAACTGAGTAAAGCAAATTTACAATTCCCAACCCATTGAATCTAGAGTTTGTTGATATCACATCTTTCCGCACTAATCAATTGTAATACTATTAGAGAATCCCTTAATATCCACATTACTGGACTTCCAATCAACTGAAGAGACAAATGCAGCACAAGGACAGGTCTTGCAGTTTAAGTCTTTTTATTAACAACAACATAAAATAACAAACAAGGGAATAGAAAAGTAGCAAAGTAGCCACTGACCGTCTTTGTAAGCAATCCCCCACGCTTTTCCATGCCTACCATCCTGCAACATACAAACAGCATTAAACCCTAAACCATTCAACAATTTTCTTTTTATAAAAAGCCTCCATCTTTTATGGCCATCCGACCACTCACTAGTCTATTTTAGCCGAAAATCCTTCAAAACTAAACAACAAAGACTAAGAAATCAATAGAATATAAACCCTTAATGCTAACATTATAATGATAACGACATAATATAAATGTCCTACATTTGAGCTTTCCCCACTTCTCATATCACCAGAAATGCACGCAATTAATTTGATTTCATTCCATATGTAAATCAAAGAAAAGGAGAGACCTTGTAGAGATTGATCTTGGTGCATTATAATGATAACGACATAATATAAATGTCCTACATTTGAGCTTTCCCCACTTCTCATATCACCAGAAATGCACGCAATTAATTTGATTTCATTCCATATGTAAATCAAAGAAAAGGAGAGACCTTGTAGAGATTGATCTTGGTGATCTCATAAGAAACACTTTCCCAATGAGATTTAGCCATGTGGTAACCAATTCCCCAATTGGGTAAAAATTGAGCGACCTCAAACAGGTTCTTCTTCTTTCTTCGTTTGGGTTTTTTTGAAGCCGAAGAAGTGGAAGAGGCATTAGTAGCAGCAGGTGAAGAAGTGCTGAAGCTTTTGAAGAAGTTGAAAGAAAATCTGAATAAGCTTAGGGTTTGATTAGTAACCAATGCCCTGTTTGTGAGGCTCGTTGCCATTTTTTGATGTTTAGCTATTGATTTTGCTTCACTCTGTTCCTGGCTAAAAGGGGTAAATAAGAGGATGAAAAAGTAATACACCTGCTAATCAGTTAAATAATCACTTTTTAGGTTTATTGCACATAAAGACGTATAGGAAAACAAGAAGAAACGATAATGCCAATGTAGACTGCTGCATTCTACCAGACACCAGCATCAAACCCAAATCCCTAATGTAGTATAATGAGTTCCTTTTTGTCCTATGTTTCAAAGTCCCAATCTCATCTCTTCTCTTCTCTAATTGCACTACACACACCAACAATACTTGAATGTTTATTTTGTTTTCAGTTTTTCATTTTCATATGTTCTTTTTATTAAAATGAGTGTACTCTTTGACTAGGTTGATGAATGATGAAATCGAAAATAAAGAATCAAAGATTTCTTCAAATAACATTTCATCTCATTATGTGATCTACCATTCTATTTACTAAATTATGTTTTATGATTGAGAATTACACATATAGTTTATGTTTGGAACCTGAATGTGCATTGAACATGGCTTAATGTCCAATTGTTGATTGAGTTGTTTTTGGTGTAAAATTGATGTTTGATTCCACTTTAGGTAAGACTTGTCTAATTGTTGTAAATTCTATTAAAGTTTTCATGGTTGTATGATGGTTATTGTTTTCCTGAATTTAAACGTTTGATAGGTTATGATTAAGCGACGTCACTAGTTCCTGGTTAGTGAGCTAGTAATTGATTGCTAGTGAGAGCCTAAAAGATAACTTATCTGACAACTTCTATCTCTGTCTCTTTCTTTTTGATGCAGGATTTTATTTCAGATTTGCATTATTTTTATTTGGATTCCTAGCACAACTAGGATTTTATTGATAACTTATCTGACAACTTCTCTTATCTCTTGGTCTCTTTCTTTTTTGATGCAGGATTTTAATGTTCCGATTTGCAACTTATTCTTTTTATTTGGAATTCCTATGCACACTAGGATTTTATTTCAGATTTGCATTAGTTCCTTCCGTTTCCTTCATTCTTGATTCAGGAATTTACTATTTTATCATTGAATAGGACAATAAGAAAGTCTAATTCTTTCTTTAATTAGGATCTCAGTCTAGTTAGGATTTATCACTATAATAGACTAGACTAGTAGCCATTTGTAAATCATCTTATTTTTCCTCATCCTTTTAATTCAAAAGGTTATATAACCTAATTACTGATTATGTTCCAACTCTACAATCAACCCTAACTTCCTAGCTGTACTTGTTGAAAACATGAACTAGCTCCCTACACTCTTCCCCTGCGTCATACTGGTATCAAGAGCACAAAACGGTCCTTAACGGGATTCTTTTTTTGTGTCTGCAATTAAACACCATGGTTGTGAGCAGCAGAGGGCATCAGCCTCCCAACAAGATAAATGAAATAGCTGAGATTGCGGCGATGATTGAGAGATTTGACCACCGGGCTGTACACACGCCTTGCAGCGTCAGGAACGCCGTGGAAGCAAACGACTGGAGACTCCGGAAAAGGCACCAACCAAAACCGATTTTCAAGAAGCGTCGTTCGTGAGAGTGAAGAGGAGAGTCGAGGACGTAACCCCCTTTTCATGAAGCTGGAGACCTGCAACCAGCAGGCAACGAGGCAGATTGGAGGACCAAGGGTTTACCTTCAACGCTCTTTGCATTAAAAGTGGAGGTAGTTAGAATTGAAGTCGTTGATTTTCCATGGGAAATTCGCATGCCGGAAGACTTATTTACGATTTGGAAACTGTTTCAGGAAATTTATTTTTGACATGGAAACCAATGGTGAAAGAACCACCTCACCGAAATCAAGTGCTCTTTTTGCTAAAGATTAAATATAAAAGAGTACTGCACTTAAAAAATGGTGGACAGAGCAGTTGAGGAAGCCGTGCACCGAACAGGCAAGCTTTAAACACCAGCACGTGGCGGCAGCACCTGAAACTCAAGCCCTAAGGAGCAATTTTTTAGCAGCTGATTTACGCATCTGGAAACTATATGAAAAGGTTCACTGCTTGCACAAATAGCATGTCTGTCTGAAGAGGTAGCACCTGCAAGAATCTTTAATCTAATTTGCTCCATCTCCGAGTTTGGCAATATCCTGAAAGTAATGAACAAACTTACCTCCTCGCTACCCCTGCCTCGTTTCGAAATAGTCCCTTAGAGATCCCGACAATGGGCATAGTCCCGATTAACCACAATCTTGAAGAATGTGCTCGCAATATGCCTTAAGCAGCTGAAAAGCGAGTTGTCTCTCGTTACGCCGTCGCTAGCAAGGCCCATAAACAGAAGCAATTTGCTAAACAATTCTCGACCCTGCAAGAGCAAGATTCAAACATAACTCAACCGACAGCGGCAAAGAGGTTGCCCCGCTACTAATTGAAATACAAAACTGAAGCAGCAACCAGTGTTGATGGGAATGGTAAACGGGAAAGGTATACGTTACCCCATGATAGGTGGACCAAACAATTTCTGGTTCGTCCATTCTGGTTCGTCTATAAGGAGAGGCAACAGTTCTCAAGTTCATTGTTTTACTTGTGGAGAAAAGGGACATACTTCATTCATCTGTCCACAAAGGAGGGTGAATTTAGCCGAGCATGATGAAGACCAAGGCCCTATTTTTGATGAATATGATGAGGAAGTAGAAGAAATTGATGTTCACCCAGCTCAAGGTGAGTCTTTAGTTGTTCAAACAGTCATGACAGCCATGAACAAAGAAGGAAAAGAAGATTGGAGGAGGCGTAGCATTTTCCGTACCCGTGTTATTTGTGAAGGCAAAGTGTGTAATTTATGGAAAAAAATATCAAAGACGCGTACAAAAATAAAGCTCCTACAACAAAAAACATCCTCATCCATACAAAGTAGGTTGGTTGAAGAAGTTGAAGAAAGGACACGAGATACCAGTAACATCTCAATGCTTAGTGCAATTCACAATGGGAGATGACTTGGCAGATGAAGCACTATGTGATGTAGTACCAATGGATTTTAGGCATATTCTAGTGGGACGACCTTGGTTGTATGATCATGATATGGACCACAAGACAAGGCCTAATACTTATTCGTTCTACAAGGACAACAAGAAGTACACTTTGCATCCTCTCAAGAAAGAAACAAGGCAAATAGCAAATAAAGGCGCTGCAACTAGTAAATTAAATGGGCTTGTAAGTGTTAAAGAATTTGCAGCTGCGCATAGTGAGGTGGGAGTACCAGGTTGAAAAATCAGTTGAATATTCCTTTGAAATTCAACGATTATTGCAGGAATTCAAGGAGTTGATTAGTGAAGATGTACTGAAAAGCTTGCCACCCTTAAGAAGCATCCAACATGCTATTGATTTGGTACCAGGAGTAGCTTTACCAAAAAACTTGCCACCGTTAAGAAGCATCCAACATGCACACCAAATGCCTACTTTACAGCGAGCTGAAATAGAAAGACAGGTTAAGGAATTATTGGAAAAGGTCTAGTGTGTGAAAGTAAAAGTCCATGTGCCTGCCTAGCCTTATTAACACCAAAGAAAGACGGTTCTTGGAGAATGTGTGTGGATAGTCGTGCTATAAATAAGATTACAATCAAATATCGCTTTCCAATACCAAGATTGGAGGATATGCTTGATCAACTAGTGGGTTCTAAAGTGTTTTCCAAAATTGATTTGAAAAGTGGATATCACCAAATTAGAATGGAGGCATGGTGATGAATGGAAAACACGGCTTTTAAGACACGGATGGGTTATTTGAATGGTTAGTAAGCCATTTGGGCCTTTTCTAATGCACCAAGGCACATTCATTGAGAGTCATGACAGAGTCTCGAAACCTTTTGGAATTCTTTCATTTGTAGTATATTTCGATTGACATTTTTGATTTATAGCCGCACCGCAGGGGGAAAGATCATTTAAAACACTTGCGACAGTTGTTAGGAAGTACTTCGTCAAGAGCAGCTGACATAAACCTAAAAAATGCAGTTTCCTGCAACCAGAAGTTTGTATTCCTGGGATACATTTGTGCTCGCTGGAAGGATTAAAACCAGATCCAGAAAAGGTTCGTGCATTACCGAATGCCGCACCACAATCCATCAAAGAAAGTTAGAAAGCTTTTCATTGGTTTGGGCCTCTTTCTATAGGAGATTTATCCAAAATTTCCAGGCTCAATTATGAGTCCTATAATTGAATCTATGAAAGAAGAAAGTTTTAGTGGACCAAATTCTGCACAAAAAGGCATTTGAAAAGAATCAAAGGTTTTTTGATGGACTAGAGCACCTGTTCTTTGCACTTCCAGATTTTGGAGAAATTTATTTATTGCGAATGTGGATGCTTTCACATTGAAGGGATGGAGCTGTTTCTTAGCCAAGAGCAACCTCTTGAATTTTTTAGTGAAAGTTGTCTGAAAGCTAAGAGCGTTACTAACTTATGATCTAGAGTTCTATGCCTTTGGTAAGAGCTATTCGAATTTTGCAACATTACTTAGCTTATCGTGGAGTTTGTGGTTTTTCTGATTCATCAGGCCTGAGGTATCTAAAATCCTTGAGGTATCTAAAATCTCAGAATAAACTCAACAATCGACATGCTAAGTGGAGTTCTTTCCTTGATGAATTTAATTTCTCACTAAAGTATAAATCCCGTCAATCTAATATTGTGGCTGATGCATTGAGTAGAAGATCCCTAATTTTGTCAATTTTGACACTCAAATTACTGGTTTTGAAGTTGAAGAACTGAAAAACCAGTATGATTCAGATTCATATTTTGGCAAGATAAAGGTTGATTTACTGCATTCTTCAGAAGCTGAAAGTCTGCCATACCGATTGCAAGATGGTTATTTATTCAAAGGAAATAAGCTATGCATTCCTGAAGGATCTTTAAGGGAACAAATCATTAGAGAACTTCATGGAAATGGTTTGGGAGGACACTTTGGTAGGGACAAGAATTTTGCGATTGTTTCCGACCGTTATTATTGGCCAAAGATGGAAAAAGATGTGAGAAAATTGGTGGAACGATGTCCAGCCTGTTTACTCGGAAAGAAGGGAAGGCACGGCCAAAATACAGGGTTATATACTCCTTTACCCGAGCCAATGCACCTTGGGTTCACTTGGATGGTTTGTTTTGGGGACTTCCAAAGACAGCAAAGGGATTTGATCTTATATTTTGTAGTGGATCGTTTCTCATCGTTTCTCTAAAATGGCTCATTTTATCCATGTTTCAAGACTTCTAATGCAGTTCATATTGCTGAGTTATTTTTTCAAGAGATCGTGAGACGACATGGTGTTCCAACTTCTATTGTTTCCGATAGAGATGTAAAGTTTATGAGGCACTTTTGGAGGACTTTATGGAGAAAATTTGGAACTGAATTGAAATATTCCAGTACTTGCCATCTGCAAACAAACGGTCAAACGGAAGTTGTAAATCGAAGTTTGGAAAATCTATTAAGATGTCTCGTTGGGAGCAATACAAAGACATGGGATCTAGTTATTCCCCAAGTTGAATTCGCATATAACAATGAATTCGCATATAACAACTCAGTCAATCGAAGTATTAAGAAGACTCCTTTTGACACTGCGTATGGACTTAAACCTCAGAATGTACTCGATTTGGTGCCCTTGCCCCAAGAGGCTAGAGTAAGTGCTGAAGGGGAATTGTTTGCTGATCACATCAGGAAAATTCATACCGAGGTGAAAGCTGCCTTAAAAGACAGTAATGCATCATATGCCTATACAGCCAACCAGCATCGGCGCGTACAAGAATTCGAAGAAGGTGATCAGGTTCTCGTCCACTTAAGACAAGAACATTTCCCTAAAGGAACTTATCATAAGCTGAAATCTAGAAGGTTTGGACCTTGTAAGGAGAAGATTCAGTTCCAAGTTCCAATGCCTATGTAATTGATCTTCCATCTGATTTACAAATCAGCCCAATTTTTAATGTTTCAAACTTGTATCCTTTTCATGGATTTGATGGAGTTCCATCCTCCATTGAAGCACAAGTACAAGAGCTACCAATTGCAAAGGCTGATGTTATTATGTTATTGAGGAAGTGTTGGATGTCAAGGAAGCTCGTTCTAGGCGTGACAACCAATATAGACGATTTTTAGTTAAGTGGTTTGGAAAACCAGCAAGAGAAAGTACATGGATTTCTGAAGAAGAGCTAAAGCAAGTTGATCCAGCCATACATGCAGAATATATCAAGGTTTACTCGTCGGAGCCGAGTCTTTTTTTAAACCCGGGAAGAATGATGCATGAGCAATCCTAGTCCTAATTGGATTCCTAGCACAACTAGGATTTTATTTAATTTACTATTTTATTTCAGATTTGCATTAGTTTTCCGTTTCCTTATTTGATTTACTATTTTATCATTGAATAGGAATACAGTAAATTTTCTTTTCTTTAATTAGGATTCCTTAGTCTTGTTAGGATTTATCTCTATAAATTAGACAACACTAGTGTAGCATTGTAAATTCATCTTATTTTCCTCATAACTTTTAATTTCAAAAGTTATAAACCTAATTACTGATTACTGTTCCACTACAATCAACCCTATTCTAGGCTTACTTGTTGGAAAACTGACAAGCCCTACATCTTCCCCCTTGCGTCACTTTTTCACTGTTTTTTTTCTGTTTTTTTTTTTTTTTTTCTTTTTTGAGTTAGTATCTGCACTATAATAAGTGAATTGAATGTAATTGCATATAGTACTTATATTATACTTGGACTCTAAAGAAATCTAAAATTTCACTCTCTACAATCTTCTCCATTCCATTAGAATCAATTATAGTAGAGCCAAAAATAATTTATATTTTCTATAATAGCTATGATTCCTTAACCTTGGATTTAAAATTTTTCAATTTCCTTTTGCCAAAAAATAGGAAGGGATACCATTACTCATGTAGGGTCGGCAATGGTTAGGTAACCACGAAAACTGCCCTACCTGAACCTGAACCGATTTCTGGAATAAGATACCTAAACCAATTAGCAATACCCACATAATATCAAACCTATATAAATACACATTTAATACAAAATGAACCAAACTCATACAGGACACAAATAGGAAGAAAGTCCATACAACACAGTGATACTAAAATATAAAATTCAAACTAAATCCATACATTACACAAGCAAACCACTATCTCAATAAAAAAGAATTACACAATCAAAATCTATTAAAAAACGCAACAATACTAAAATAGCTAGCACAAAATCTGTCTCAAATAATTAAAAGACAGCACCACAAGCCCCAGTTAACTCTTCTTTTTTGTTTGGTTTGATGCTATGTGGAAAACTTTTAAATGATTTTTTTAATATATGCACATACTGCACTAATATGAAGGTTAATGTTCGTTAATACTTTAAAATTTCATCATTTTGTTTGGGCATGAACCAATAGAAATTTTACGCAATTCAAGATAGAAATAAGAGACTTTCCCTGTCAATAGAGAAAAAAGGTAAGAAAGAATCATTCAGTCATTCTTTTGCAATATTAACTTCCAAAAACACAATCAAGGACAATATGCCAATTTATGCATTCCAACTGTTGTCCAAGAGCTGAAAGAAAGCATCAATCAAGTACATCTAGCTACTGATATTCAACATATTGCAGCATAAAATTGAAAAAAAAAAAAAAAAAAAAAAAAAAAAAAAAAAAAAAAAAAAAAAAAAAAAAAAAAGGAAACGGAGTAAGCCTCAGAAAGGAAGTGATTCAAATGCTGTACCTGTGCACCACCAGGCAGCTATTCTTTCGCAATAACAAAATATTCATATTGAAAAACAACTCAAGATACATCCGAGATTGGTGTAACAATACAAGGCACACCCATATTTTAATGACAAAAGATGTAGCAAAACGTAAGGAACCTAGTCCAGTTAGTATAGTTTTACAAATAAAAAAACAAACTGGAAGAGAAACATTACCACTGAACCTGGATTAAAAAAAAAAAAGGAAAAAAAAATTGAGCAGGGAGATTAAAGAGTGCTGTCTAACACCTAAGTAAAATAAGCAGAGACCAACTTCTGCATCCTCTACACAATTCAATGAACTCGGCACATCAGCTCATGCAACTATAAAATTATCAGAATAGAACACTTAAATGAATCAGAAACTTATTAGTGTTTCAATAGTTAGCTAACCAAAATGGAATTTAATAATAGAATAATTTAGTGAACTAATGATTCAAACGCACATTGCAGATCAGTTTATAATTGACAAATAAAAGGAAAAACCTTTATATGATAGTTCATATATAGTTCATATATATTAACACACATAACAATTAACTCAAAATGATTTCTAAAACAAGAAATTAAAAATAAAGGAAGGTGAGCCATACCCAAAAAGAGATAATAGTATCAAAACCCAGATAATCTATTTTGCATTGCGACTGCTACTTGGAGCCTTGCAAGCAACAGAGGTTGTCTTCGGCGAGCCACAAAGATTGTTGCGGAGATGGCCGCTGGTTGAGGAGATGGCCACTTGTGAGTCGGGTTCAATCTTTCGATAAAAAGATACGAAAGAGGAAGGGGAGATGTGTCATCTAGGAAGAAAAATGAGCCTTGGCCCAAACCGAATCAGCTTTGTTGCAAAACCCTACCACAATGTTTGGCTAAATTCAATTTTAGCTGTGGAATTCATTTCTACAATGTCAATTTAATTAAATTTTGTACATAATAATCTATATCTATATATCTATCTATCTAAATATATAATCCTGAAGCAATAAATATTTTGTAAATGCTTACACAAAGCTATCTTTTCTCAAGATTCTATTTTCCCTGTTTTTAGAAAATTTTGGACTTTTTTATTTATTTTTCTATGTTTGAATATTTTTATTATACTATGTTTGGAATATTTTTATTATATATATTATATTATATAAATATATATATATATATATATATATATATTATATATATATATATATATTATATATATCAAGTTTCAAAAAAAACTTTCCTGTCAATGGGTATATATCACTTTGAAATTTTTAAATATTTTTTATCTACAAAAATACTCACATCCATCTATAAATATTTATATATTAAATATGAAATGTTTGCATTTGGTGTTGTTTTCAGTATTAGGTATAATTTCTACAATGCTTCAGTTATGTATATATGTTGGGATTGGGAGCTTTTTTTTTTCTTTTTTTTTTTGCAGACTGATCATGGGAAGAATTTACTGCTATAAAATGAGGTGAAAATAAACCCCCATTGTTAGTATGGCAACTGAAGAAGAAGGAGAAAATTTTGGTGCTTTGACCCAAAATAAGTTTGTCTTTTTTAATCGTTGTGAAGTTCTCTTTTCTCGTAATTTCCCCTCTCACTGGATGGTTTATTACCATATATGGCTTCCACTTGGATGATTTACATATTAAAAAATATAGAATTCTCTTAGAACTTTAAATTTTAAATTTCTGGATAGATATTTCAATTATTTTAGTGGCATGAGAGATAAATATTCTAGATTTGATTATTATAGCCTCATATTTAGTGATTTGTGACATCCTACCGAGTCGAGTCTTAGCACTAAGTCGAGTCATTTCATAGAGTCGAGTTGAGTCGGGCCAAACCAAACCCGGTTGGGGTAGTTTAGAATGGGATTATAAGTGGACTTACTTGATTGAGAGGAAAAAAATCAAAGGCATATGGGGTGAGGATTTATTTGCATTTTAAAGATCAAGCTTGGTATTTACGTGAATAGCCTTTTGCTTTAATTGAGGTACTATAGAACTTTTACACACAAAGTCATGGATATTTTAGAGCCTACCCGTGCATACCCATTTCACTTTCCCATTTTCATGTTTATCTTCATCTTCTTCCTTTATCTCTTCCACCTTCCTTTCAATTTTAATGGTAGTTAAGTCTTAACTTCAACTTTTCTTCTATCCAAGTACGTAAACCTTCTTTAAGTTCATGATTGAATCATTTGGTGCTATTTTTAGAATAGTCATAAGAATTCTCATTTATAGGTGAAGGGAGTTCAAGGAGTGTAGAGAAAAGAAGTTAAAGAAGAACTCAAGCTTTTTGAAGTAAAGGTTTGATATCTCTTTTTCATTTACCATTTTCTTTGCATGAGAGAGTTGTGGTGGTGCGTGTTTTGTTAGCTAATGAGACAATATTGCTTCTGTTTGAGTGGAGAGCACTGGAATTGTTGAGAAAACAGGAGGAATTGAATAATGAAGTAAATAGTGAGTTTATGCTGAAAAGGTTTTGCTGAAAATTTTACAGTAACGTTGATCTTGATTGGTTGACGCCCATTTAATAATGGAGATTAGCGAAGCTGTTATAGAAGAGTTATTTGTTCCTCTATGTGTTAGCTTTACATGAGTTTTTGAATCATCCAAATCGGGAGTTGTATATTGAGAATATGACCAAGAGAGAGTACAGACTACCAGGCTGAAAAGAAGCCCGACGGCGCGCGCTAATTGCATGACGAGCTCGCGACTTGTGCCTTGAAAAAACTCCACTGACTCTCATTTTGCACTTTACGCCTGCTCGCGACTCTCAATTTGCGCGCTCGCGACTTTCACCTTGAAAACTCTCGACTCTCATTGGTGCTTTACGCGCTCGCGACTTTGCTGCGCGCTTGCGACTTGTTGCGCCGAATAACTCACTGACTCTCATTTTTGCATCTTTCGCCCGCTTCGCAACCTTGGCAGGCACCGCTCTCGCGACTTTGTTTTCATGCATTTTTTGACGTCGATTGGTTTCGTATGGCAATTGGCATTCCTTTGTCAATTTGCTATTGCCTCCACATCAATTTTAAAAACACCAAAATCTACAAACATCTTAGCAAAACATGTATCAAACAACATTCAAGCATGCAAATTTGATGTGAAATCAAATTAACATTAGGTGATTTATGAAGTTATGAACTATGAATATGATGTTGTGTTTTATTATTTACAAATACAACCATTTTGCCTTCCAGTTTGAGGGCTTAGTAGAAACCATTGTAGATAAGACTATGTCGCCGGACATAGGATAGCAGATCTTGGGCACCCATACAGTTGGATAACTCCGGCTTAACAGGGCCTTGAGTGGAGATGATTATATATGGGCCGATTAGCAGCAAGCATACGTATTTCATCGAGTTTCATACAGTTTTTACTTATCACTTCGGTTTCACTATAACCTTTGAGGGAGCCATACAGATATCTTGACATAACATTATCTTGACATAACATTTCATGAATCATACAGTCTTATCACCCAGTACGAAAGATAATCAAGGTATAAGGAAAGGATCATGCTATATGTGCTTATATGTTTAGTTATCCATATGCATTTACATGCTCATTTTATCTATGTATGTGCTTAACTGTTTCTTTATGTGTTGAGATATCCACTGAGCTTTATTGCTCAGCGAGTTACCTGTTTAACTCGCAGGTTTTGAGATTGGACCGTAGAGAGTCAGCCTGCAACTGCTGCAGTTCATCTGTAGAAGACTCAGTATTCAGGGTAGCTACTCATTTGGATATGTATTTTTTTGTCTACCCTTTTTATGGCATGTACAGGTTTTTTATGGCATGTACGGGCACACAGTTGGGCCCATTCCATGTTTGGAAACTAGTATCATGTTTGTAAATAATTAGTACATTATTAATATAAACAACATCATCAATGCTTTTTTATTCATATACAGTTATGATTTTTAGCATGTCAGGCCATACAGTCAACCAGTTTTTGGTAGCGTCCTCGTTCATTATGATTTTAGCATGTCAGGCCATACAGTCAACCAGTTTGTAGCGTCTCGGTTCAGTTCATTCGGGTTTACAGGTGGACCGGGAAGGGATGTTACATGATTTGTGATTGCACTGTGGTCAACACATATTATATATTTTCTGACAGAAAATGTACCTTTTGTAATCTGCAGTAGTATTAAGCCTGCAGGAGTATAAATTTTGTAATACTATGCCAGTAGTATTAATCTTAATTTATTTTTTAGATTAATTGTATAATATATTAATTTATTAGTTTATTGATGAGGCGTCTCTACAATATCGCAAGAGCTATAAGCTAAAATGTTCAATCATTATTTAAGCCAAATAGTTCTGTAATATCTTTATGGGTTTCCCAATTAGGAAAGGTCCGCCAACCCCATTAGTGGCGCACGGACCTTCATTTTAGCAACTCAGTATGTAAACATCAATAAAACGACTTCGATTCAGGGTTTCATCCAGTTCAAGCACTAAGCAATTTTGCTTTGCATTGCATACATGACTCATAATGGCCCAAATATCAAGTAAAGAATGAGATTTCGGTTGTGAAAGTCATATTTGTTCATCATCCATAATGAACATCAAAGTCTTGAACCTAAGTCTTGTATTAACTTTTAATTAATGCTTCTTAATTTTATGCACTTTAAATTCCCGTCATTTACATTTTTAAGCAGTTTACATTTATGCCTCTTATTTATTATTGTGTTAACCCTCCTAACTTTAGATTTGACCATTTAATCATTCTAACATTTAGATTACCATTGTGTTAATTGTTATGATTGAATATTAACTACAAAAAAAATGCTATTTAGCGAATGACACTGAGCTGTTGCTAATTAGCAACCGATCAGCGACCGCTTACGACATATAATTAATGTGAAACCTCTGGAATATTAGCAACCAATTTTGGTACCATTAGCGATCGATGTAGTGACAAAATTGGTGACCGCTTGTTGATTTGTTGCTAATTTTGGCCCTAAGAATTGGTGCCAACCAGAGCTACAAAGCAGTGACCATTCAGCGACTAAATTAGCAATGACATAACGACCAATGCACAATCGATCGCTATATTTGGTGCCATAGACCTGGCAAAAATTGGTGAAAATTAATAACAACCAATTAACGATTAGTTGGCGATAGATCCGACGATCGAAATTTCATAGCTTTCAGCGATGAATTAGCGACCGATTTTAGACTTTAGCGACGGAGCCTATTTGTCACGTCAACTAATATAGTGACCAATTTACTTATTATAGCGACTGATATGGTTGGTCACTAAAATTTTTGGGTAATTTAGTCGCCTTCCTCTCTCAAGCGCGAGACTGATTAGTCTCACGCCTCTCTCTCTCTGTCTCCTCTTACTTTCTGTCTCTCTCTCCCTCCCCCTACGTCTCACTCCAGCACCATTCAACAGTGCCGCCGGTCTCCTCCTCCTTCTGCTACAAATAAGTTATTTGTTTTTTGTTTTTTTTTCTTTTCCTTATTAATCTGCAATTTGTGTAATTTTTTTAAGTTATTATTGGCTAAGGTATATAAGAAAGAGTAAATATTAAAATTTGAATTAACTTATTGATGAATTCCCTTTACCCTAATAGAATTTCTTGTGATGAATCTTTCTATAGATGTTTTTTGAAATAGTTATTTAACAACTCAAAAGATTGAAAAAGAAAGGCAAAAAATCATGTTTGAAACTCCATACCATAGCTTGAAAAAGCTTCAATCAGGTTAAAAAACTATAATTTTCATAATGGCCTATGAACTTTTCAAGTAATTAAAAAACTTGTAATGAAGAAAACTAATAAGAAACAAATTTAAAAAACTTGTAATGAAAAAAACTACTAAGAAACAAATAGCTTATAATATTTCATAAAAATAGATTTTAATTTATTTTTTAAAATTAATTAATGATAAGAAAACAAATG